GAAAACCCGAACACGGCCATTAACACTCAAATGTGCACCCTACCCCCCTCCCCTGGAACCCCTCCCTTTAGGGCTTCGCCCACACCAGAACGTCATCACTCGTACCTCGCTCTTTCCGTTACCTGGCCCGGCACAGAAACGGAAAGAGCGCTTCAGAAACAGAAACCGAAATTATTCACACCACCGTTCGTATTGGGAGCCTTGGCGTTGAGAGCTTGTTACGTCACCCCTCGCTCTTGGGAGCCTTGGTGTTCAGAGATTGTTGCGTTGCCGCCCGTTCCTGAGCCTTGGCTGGGCCTGGTGTCAGGAACTTGTTACGTCACCGCTCTCTGCTGGGAGCCTTGGTCTTATCAGCTTGTTTACGTCACCGTTCGCTCTTGGGAGCCTTGGTGTGAAGAGCTTTTTGCGTTACCGATCGCTCTCTATTTGGCGTCTCTGGGCCTTCTTGGAAGTTCTATTGGGGCCCTTTGGAGCCCTTTTGGAGACCTCTTGGGAACCTCTCGAGGGCCTCTTGGGGCTTCTTGGGGGGCTCTGGGGGCCTCCTGGGAGCTTCTTGGGGCGAAAGGCTAGACTTGTCGGTTCGTGGTCCCCCTCTTGGGGCCGTCTTGGGGCCCTCTTGGGCCGTCTTGGGCCGTTTGGGGGGCCGTCTTGGGAGCCTCTTGGGCCGTCTTGGGGTCTTGGGGGCCTCTTGGAGCGTCTTCAACGCAGTGAAACCGAAAAGCCTTGTATGCTAAAATGTACCTTTTTCCCATCGGAAATCAGTGATCTTCGCCTCCCGGTGGCCTCTTGGGACGCCTCTTGGGGGCCTCTTGGGGCTTCTTGGGGGGCTCTGGGGGCCTCCTGGGAGCGTCTTGGGCGAAAGGCTAGACTTTTCGGTTCGTGGTCCCCCTCTGGCCCTCTCTTGGGCCGTCTTGAGCGCCTCTTGGGCCGTCTGGGGCCCTCTTGGGCCGTTTTGGGGGCCTCTTGGGAGCCTCTTGGGCCGTCTTGGGGCGGTCTTGGGGGTCAACGCCGTGAAAGCCGACAAAGCGCATATGCTAAAAATATACCTTTTCCTTTGGAAAATATATGATTTCGGCCTCTTGGGGCCCTCTTGGGACGCCCCTTGGGCGCCTCTTGGGGGCCTCTTGGGGGCCTCTTGGGCCGTCTTGGGCGGTCTTGGGCTCTCTTGGAGCGCTCTTGGGCCGTCTTGGGGGGGAACCCGAAAAACATGCAAAAACCATAGGGAAAACCCGAAAACGGCCATTAACACCCAAATGCGCACGCTACCCCCCTCCCCTGGAACCCCTCCCTTTAGGGCTTCGCCCACACCAAAACGTCATCACTCGTACCTCGCTCTTTCCGTTACCTGGCCCGGCACAGAAACGGAAAGAGCGCTTCAGAAACAGAAACCGAAATTACTCACACCACCGTTCGTACCGGGAGCCTTGGCGTTGAGAGCTTGTTACGTCACCCCTCGCTCTTGGGAGCCTTGGTGTTCAGAGATTGTTGCGTTGCCGCCCGTTCCCGTGAGCCTTGGCTGGGCCTTGGTGTCAGGAACTTGTTACGTCACCGCTCTCTGCTGGGAGCCTTGGTCTTATCAGCTTGTTTACGTCACCGTTCGCTCTTGGGAGCCTTGGTGTGAAGAGCTTTTTGCGTTACCGATCGCTCTCTATTTGGCGTCTCTGGGCCTTTTTGGGAGTTCTACTGGGGCCCTTTTGGAGCCCTTTTGGAGACCTCTTGGGAACCTCTCGGGGGCCTCTTGGGGCTTCTTGGGGGACTCTGGGGGCCTCCTGGGAGCTTCTTGGGGCGAAGGGCTAGACTTGTCGGTTCGTGGTCCCCCTCTTGGAGCCGTCTTGGGGCCCTCTTGGGCCGTCTTGGGCGCCTCTTGGGCCGTCTTGGGGCCCTCTTGGGCCGTTTTGGGAGCCTCTTGGGAGCCTCTTGGGCCGTCTTGGGGCGGTCTTGGGGGCCTGTTGGAGCGTCTTCGACGCCGTCCGTGAAAGCCGAAAAGCCGTGTATACTAACAAAAATTACCTTTTCCAAAAGGCAATCCATGATTTTGGCCTCCTGGTGGCCTCTTGGGACGCCTCTTGGGGGCCTCTTGGGGCTACTCGGGGGGCTCTTGGGGAGCATCTTGGGGCGAAAGGCTAGACTTGTCGGTTCGTGGTCCCCCTCTTGGGGCCGTCTTGGGCGCCTCTTGGGCCGTCTTGGGGCCCTCTAGGGCCGTTTGGGGGGCCTCTTGGGAGCCTCTTGGGCAGTCGTGGGCCGGTCTTGGGGGCCTCCTGGGCCGTCGTCAACGCCGTGGAAGCAGAAAAACCGTATATGCTAAACATGCACTTTTTCTGTTGGAGAATCAATGAATCGGGCCTCTTGGGGCCCTCTTCGGACCCGTTTTGGGCCGATGTTTGGAGGATGTCTCGAGCCAAACTGCCATTTTTCAGAAATCCGCCAGCGCAGTTTCCAAGTGCGCCCCGTACCCCGTCATTAATTTCTACCACCAACAAGCGGTCCACGCCAAGGGCGCTTCCCGTCATACGAAAAACATGCAAAAACCCAAAAGAAAACCCCCTAAACGGCCATTGAACCCATCCGCTCGCCGTACGCCCCCCTGGGACCCCTCCTTAAGGGGCTTCGCCCAAAACACAACGTCATCGTTCGTACCTCGCTCTTTCCGTTACCCCCCCGGGCCCCACACTAAAAAAACAGCTCCCCTGGACAAGTTTCTCACCCTCCGCCGTCTTCTGACGGCCCCAAGGCCCGGGGAGGGGGGAACGCGGAAGCCGGGAAGCGATCCCAAAACCTGCAGGACGCTGGCGCCAACAAGACCCGTCGTGCGCGCCGCCCCGACTCCGAGCCGGCCCCGTGGGCGCAGCCTGGCCAAGAGGTCGGCCGCGGAGGGACATCCCGCCCCCATCAGAGGTCCGCGGGCTCGTCCTGGATTGGCGCTGGACCCTCCCTGGCGCGCGGCGGCGCCGGAGGCGCCACCAGCAGGCGGTGCGGCCGCTCGGCCGCGCGGCCGCGAGGGGTACTCCCCGTCCCTCTCCCCCTGGTGGCGCCTGGCGGCGGCCCTGGCGGACCAGGGCCTTAGCCCGCCCCTCCAGTCTGACCAGCTCCCTGCCCGCGTGGAAGCAGCGGCTTGCCGCGGGCCCGAGCTGCTAGCCAGCCACGTGCGGGGCTGGCGGGAGGTGGCTGCGCAGCTCAACCGCGTGCCCTACGACGTGGCAGATGCGTTGCTCGGCCTCCCCCCGTCCGCGTCCTTCGGCGCAGGAGGCTACGTGCGCGTCTTCCTCAAGACACGCTTGCTGACCAAGGTCACGACGCGGATTATCACAGCGTTGGCTCGGGTGCTCCTCCTACAGCAAGGCTCGCCAGTGGCGCCTGCGATCCAGGCGGCGCCGAGGGCCCGGGACGGCACCTGGTTGCAAGGTGCTGCGGCGGTGGCGCAGGCGTATGGCGTGTCCGCCCCTCCGCTCCACCTGGCCGCCGCGGAACAGGCGGGGACGAAGGGCGGGCGACAAGCGGCTCGGTCGTGGGCCAGCGCGGCGATGTTGCCGAACAACTGCGAGGTGGAACGCGCATGGTTCTGCGAACAGCTGGGCAAGCACAACGACAACTGGCTGCTGCCTATCGTCGAGGTGCTGCCTTTGCAAAGGCAGTGGCGCGTCGACCTGCAACGGGCGGGGTGGGGGAAGTCGACGTGGAGGTTTCACGGGGCCCGGTGCGTGGCACGAGTTACCTCTGATAATCCTGCAGATGTGTGGGGGCTTCCCCAGGCGAGGCTCCTGCACATATGTACGTTATGCGCTGGCGCGCAGAGCAACCTCGAACACTTGCTGGCGCAGTGCTCCGCTGGCCAGGGCCTCCAGGGCGCGATCTGCGAGCGCCGGGCCCTCGGTCCTGATGCCGTGGAAGCGTGGGTGCTGCGCGACGCGGACGCCCTCGACGAACTCGCCGCGAAGGCCCGCTACCTGGGGCTCACCGCCGCCCTCGCTCACTCGTGCGGGAGCGCGGGGCGAGCCGCGTGAGCGCGGCGGAACAGGATGGCGCGAAAGAAGAACTGTCTGCGGCAACGGCCTGCGGGCCCTCCCTGGCCCGCGGCTTCATCCATTGCCTGCGTGCCCCTCCCTGGCCTGCATGCCCCTCCCCGGCCTGCGGGCCCCTCCCCCGTCCGCGGGCCCCTCCTTGGCTGGCGGGCCCGTCCCTGGCCTGCGGCCCCCCCCCGCGCGCTTGCCCCGACCCGCGGGTCATCCACCCGGCCCTTCCTCTTCTTCCCCTCCAGGCTGCGGCCTGCCCTGGCGCACGGCGCGGTGTGGCCGCTACCCCGCGGGGTATCAACACTTACGGATAGCGCAACGGATAGCTCCTCCTCCAGCCCCTACTCTCCCTCCCCCTTCCCGTCCTCCCTCCTCCCCCCTCCTTCCCTCCCCCTCCCCCTCCTCCCCCACCCCCTCCTCCTCGGAGGACGGCAGCCCCAAATCGGTCCCCAGACCCTCAAAGGGCCTAAACGCACCAACTTCCCCAGCTGCGTCCAGTCGTGGCGACGAGGCCCTCCCCACCCCCCTCCCGAAAGCCAGGTACATCGCTGTCTCAGCTGGCCCTCACTCTGGCTACACGGGGGAGTGACCATGGGCAAGAGCCTTTGGTGGGCGGCTTGCGGTGGGGGGGTCCGAAACTCAAACGCGCAGGCGCAGGCCGCTGCTGCTGCATCGCATCCGGCGATCGGGGGACCCCAATGGGCCATCACCAAATGTCACTCCAGCGAAGGGTCACTCTTACGTGCTGTCGGTCCCTCCTACCCGCTTCTGCGGGCGAAGAACGGTATAACATAATCTTTTCCGCCATCCCAGGGACGCCCCGTCCCGTCCCAGGGCGATTGGGAAGATGTTTCCCTACGGTGGCAGGTGGGGGCCCTGGGACGGGGGTTCCCGATGGTGGAAAGAATTGCATCTGTTACACCGTTGTGAGCGCACTAAGAGCAGCCAGCGCGGTCGCTCGGTCCGCCGCGAGCGAGTTCCTTTCTGCACCGCCCCAGCGCGGCCCGGCCGCGAGCTCGGCCGCGGCCCGCCGGCGGCCGCCGGCAAGGCAGACGGGCCGCCGCGGCGCGACTCGGACTCCAGCGGGTCGCCGAGGGCCGCGGAGGGTGGCGGGTCCTTCCGCGGCGCGCCGGGGGCGCGGCTCGGAGCGGGCCCTCCCGCGGCCTCCTGGCCCCGTGCTGCTGCTGCTGCTGCTGCTGCTGCTGCTGCTGCTGCTGCTGCTGCTGCTGCTGCTGCTGCTGCTGCTGCTCCTGCTGCTGCTGCTGCTGCTGCTGCTGCTGCTGCTGCTGCTGCTGCTGCTGCTGCTGCTGCTGCTGCTGCTCTCCCTCCCCTCCTTCTCGCTACGGGGAGTCCTCATGCTCCTCCTGCCTCCTGCCTCGAGGCTCCTCGTGCTACTGCTCCTCATCCTCCTCCTCCCCCTGCCGCTCATGCTCCTCCTACTCCTCCTCCTCCTCCCCTTCCTCCTCCTCCTCCTCTTCGTCGTCGTCGTCCCCCTTCTCCTCCTCCTCCTGCTCCTCCTCCTCCTCCTCCTCCTCCTCCTCCTCCCCCTTTTCTTTCTCCCCTTTCTCCTCCTCCTCCTCCTCCTTCCTCCTCCTCCTCCTCCTCCTCCTCCCCCTCTTCCTCCTCTTTCTCCTCCCCCTCCTCCTCCTCCTCCTCCTCCTCCTTCTCCTCCTCCTCCTCCTCCTCCTCCTCCTCCTCCTTCTCCTCTTCCTCCGGCGCAGACGGCAGGGGCAGCACAAGCAGCAGCAAGCTCGGCCCCACCAGGAGGAGCAGCTAGTGGCAGCGCAGCAGGAGCGGCGCAGCCAGAAGGAGCTGAGGAGCTCCTGCAGGGGAGGCGCGCGAAGGGCGAAGGCAAAGGGCCTGCATCCCCGAGCGCGGGGACGGGCTCTTGACAGAAGCCGCGCGAGGCCCGTCGTAACAGAGGAGGCGGCGGCGGGCCTCATGAGCGCGCGTCCTTTTTCGCGAACCTCACGACCTGGGGACCCACAGCCAAGCTGTGGATGGGGCAACAGTCGACGCTCCAGGGCCACGACGCCTAACTACGCGTGCCAGGAGGCGCATGAGGCGGAGGCGGCGCTAGAGCGGACGGAGCACGACCTCGTGAAGATGGGAGACAGGGCGTGCTCTACGGCTGCGAGAGCTGAGCTAGTTCGAGATTGGAGCTGCGGCGCCTCGCGGCAGCGCAGGCAGGCGCGGGCGCTAGAGGAGGAGGAGGAGGAGGAGGCCAAAGCAGCAGAGAGAAGACAGGAGAGGGCCGCGCTGAGGAGGAGGCGAGGCTGAATAACGAGAGGTGTGAGGCACTTGCCCCATACGGGAGGCAGGGCTTCCCAGGCGGAGGAGCGCCAGCAGCAGCAGCAGCCTGTGAGGAGCGGCGCGCTGCTGGCGAGGGCCAAACTGCTGGCTGCACAGGCCGGCAGGGGGGATGGGGCCATGGAAGAGGCCCCGCGAGCGGGGGGTCAGGACGGCCACGGACTGCGCCTGCCATCGTGAAGTTTAGACAGGACGTCAACCCCGACCGCCACCACTGCCCTGGAGAGGTTCTACGTCAAGGACTCGACGCAGAGGAGGAGTACCCTTGCGAGCAGCTGGAGGGCTACCGCGACGAGCAGGAAAGCCAGGAGCAGCTGAGAAAAGAGACCGAGCCGAGCGTAGGCGTAGCCCAGAATGAGGACGCCGTGAGCACGGAGGAGCTGCTGACGGGGGGGCCGTCAGGAGGTGACCCCTCCAGCGAGGAGAAAGAGCAAGGAAGTGAGGCAGAGGAGCCAAGCATAGAGGAGAAGGTGGAGATGCTGCGAGCAGGGGCTTTGGACGTCGACACCACGCTGCTGGGGGACATGAGGGAGGCAGACAGAACAGCGACCAGAGGAGGCAGCCAGACCGAGGCGCCTGGCTACGTCAGGGAGAGTGGAGCATACCAAGTCGGCTCGGTGGCAGGGGAGCAGCTTGGATGGCAAAACGCGCAGACCACGGACGCACTGGAGCAGGTCTTTTGCATGGGCTACCACATCGGCCCGCGTGGCAGGCACCACTTCACGAGACGAGGGAGAGGCTACCAGCTCAAGGAGGGCTGCAACAGGTGGCGAGAAGAGAGGAGAGTACCATACGGCAACCCACAAAGCTGCAGACATCGTGCTGGGCATGGCGCTGCAGGCGGAGGAGGAGAAGGCCAGGGCGCGGCGCGCAGTGGCATGAGAGCCAGCACGAGAGGCTTCTGCAAGTGGCTAGCGGTCGCGGAGCGGCAGCCTGGAGTGCTACATCGGATCACGAAGCCATCGAGCAGAAAGGAGGAGGAGATCCACACGGAGGAGGGCATCACCTCCAACTGCCCGAAGGAGATCGTGGACGTGAAGGCGAGGGACATTGCCATTGCGAGAATATGGGGGGTGCGAGGGAGCGGCCCACAGCACGCACAGGCAGATGCTGGAGGCGCCGTGGAGGAAAGCACAGGAGACGGAGGAGCCGAACCGGGAGCTGGAGGACCTTTCCAGGGCACCCCGGGGCGAACCAGGCAGAGGGCAGGGGGTCGACCTCATGCAGTGCGGCGATCAGAGGCGGCTACCAGCGGCAGGAAGGGGGCAGTTGGTCGGCCTCTTCAACGGCAGCGTGAACAAGTAGGCCTGGCATCGGCAGCTGCCGTGCGCGGTGGGGGTGCTGGCCCCGAAGCAGGTCAACGAAGACAGGGCGCTGGAGCTGCTGCCGCAGCTGGCCCCTGCCGTCAGGCAGTGGGCCACGAGGCAGGAGCGCCAATGGGATGCAGCGGTCGCAGGAAACAGCTGCTTGCGCGAGGCAACGCAGGGGATGGCCATAGACAAGTGCTGCGACCCGCTGTGCGTCTTCCAGGGGTGCGGGCTCACGGACATCGAGAAGTTCGACGTTAGCTTGAGGATCGACACGTTCATCCCCGCGGCGCTCGAGATGGGCTTCTACCCCAGGATCCTGCTGTTGCTTCTGCGGCAGCACTCGAGCGTGAGAGTCGTGAGGAGGAAGGGAAGCCACTCGGAGCCGCAGTACACCGACCGCTCCATCCCGAAGGGCTCGCGGCGCTCCAGCAACATCGCCAAGACGGTAGTGTACGAGGTGCTTTACTACACGAAGCCTTCGTGACGAAGGGAAAGGTCAGCTGCATGCCGCGGCCGCGGACCACACCATGTTTCGAAGACGTCGTCATCCGCATCCGCATCATGGGCAGTGAGCCAGCCCGAGGCGAGGAGGCAGCTCGTCGCGACCACGAGGGCCTTGAAGGACGGGCTGGAGTCACGCGGGCTGGGACGAGGCCAACTGAGCTGCGACGCCAGGAGGTTCCAGCTCGCCGCCCAGGAGAGGAAGGCCGCGGACGAGGACTGGAGGAGGCTAGCGCGGACGCCAGAGGAAAGAGCAGCAAGAGCTAGCGAAGTGGCGCCCCAGGAGCGGGGCGAGGAGCTGCTTGAGGAGCTAGAGGGAGAGGCCAGAGGAGGCGACGACGGTGGCGCAGTGGTTAGTCAAGGGGACTGCCATCACAGTGCGCACCTGTCGGAGCTGAACCTGAGCAGTGGTGAGCCTGGCGCCGCGGCAGCAGAAGGAGAGGCGCTCGGGGAGGGTGGGCCAGTGAGGGGGGAGGAGGAACCCAGAGAAGGCAACGGCCGTGGCGTAGTGGATAGCCAGATAGACTGCCATCGCAGTGCCCACGTGTCGGAGCCAAGTCTGACGACCTTGAGGGAGGCGCAACGGCCAGAGGTGTGAGGAGAGAACCACAGGCTGGCGAGCGAGGCGCTGGCCAAAGAAGGGAGGAGTCTGCAGGAGAAGCGCGAGAAGGGCCACAAGGGGCTTGCGAGGAGAGGGCTGCTGAGAGCAGCAGGTTTCAGGAGGGATCGCTGATGACAGCAGGCAAGACGCAAGGGGCGCGGGGAGGGCGTGCGGAGAGGCATCCGACAGCAAGCACCAGCGCCCCCCGAGTCCGCCGACAGCAGCGGGACGCTCAGGGACACCGTCCATGGCGCAGGAGGGGCTCCGGGAGGCACGCCAGAGCGGGCCTGGAGTGCGGGCGGGCTCAGAGCCGCGGCCTGTGTGGCGGTGCCTTGAGGACCCCGAGGAGTGGAGGCGGAGGACCCAGCAGGCGCGCAGGAGTGGGTGGCCGAGCGCAGCCAGAAGTAAGAGAGCGCGCCGAGGTCAACGTGCAGGACGCAAGCGGCGCGGGGAGAGCGTGCGAAGAGACATAGGGTAGCAAGCCAGCACGTGCGGGACCAGTCACTGGGAACCAGCGCCCCCCGAGTCCGCCGAAGGCAGCAGGAGGAAGAAGGGCGCCGCCGCCAGAAGCTCAGGAGGGGCTCTCCAGGAGGCACGCCAGAGCGGGCCTGGAGTGCAGGCAGGCTCAGAGCCGTGGCCTGCGCGGCGGTGCCCCGAGGAGGAGGCTGCTTGGCTCCTGCGATCAGCCAGAAGGGCGCCCAGAAGCGAAGCCGTGGAAGGGCAACAGGCGAAAGGCCCAGCCAGCCAGACGGCGCCAGGCCAAGGCAGCCAGCGGGGCGCCGCCGCCGCGCCACCAGGAGGGGCTCGGGGAGGCGCGCCAGAGCGGGCCTGGAGAGCAGGCGGGCCCAGGACCGCGGCCTGCGAGGCGGCGCCCCGCGGCCCCCAAAGAGGCGGAGGGGCCAGGGCCGCGGCGGGCGCCGACAGGGCCGACGCCGCCGCCCAGGCCCGCCGAAGCAGCTTCGCGGGCCTCGCGGAGGAGGCCTGCGGGCCGAGGCCAGCCAGCGGGGCAAGCGCGGCGGGTCGCCGAGCACGGCGCTGAGCCGCCCCCCGCCCGCGGCCGCCGCGCGGGCGCCCGCCCATCTCCTCTCTTCTCTCTCTCGCGCGACCTCGTCGCCACGGGAAATGTCCCGAAATGTCTCCTCCTCCTCCTCCTCCTCCTCCTCCTCCTCCTCCCCCTCCTCCCCCCCCCCCCTCCTCCCCCTCCCCCTCCCCCTCCTCCCCTCCTCCCTCCTCCTCCTCCTCCTCCTCCTCTCCTCCTCCTCCTCCTCCTCCTCCTCTCCGCCGCCGCCGCCTCCGCCTCCCCTCCGCCTCCGCCTCCTCCTCCTCGCTCCCTCCTCCGCTCTCCTCCTCCTCTCCTCCGCCTCCGCCTCCGCTCCCTCCTCCCTCCTCCTCCT